GCTGATTTTCTTATTTTGATACGTGCTTACAGAAAGGGAGATAAGTATATCTATATGATGATTTCCATGTGTATGTATTATTCTTAAATACAAAAATATCAGAATTTTCTTGAACTTGTGGAAATTAAGGAATCTAATAAGATATTTGGAATGTTCCACAAGTACCTAAAGAGTAACTGTTTTTATTTTGTTTTCAGACAGATAAATGAAAGATTGAGAAATTTCCTTTGTATTCGTTTTTTGAATGGCAGTATTATACATTATTGTCTAGGTTCGAGGGCCAGAAACCATTTTGTCAAACCGAAGAACCAAACGGTTTGTCTAAGGCCGTTAGGCAATAGTTTGGACCGGGGTTCGGAGAAATCCTTTTCCATTCGGGGGAGGGAGGGTGGCTATATGCGGACTCCGGACAGTGGCTTGGGACGATGGGAAAATGTTTATTATACCTATAACAATCAGTTTAATACAAATCTTTGGATGACTTTGGTTTAGTATTTGCTTTGTTCCTGTTTAAGTAAAAATTTAATGCGGTGTAAATTTTATATACCTGCAATGCGGTATAAACTCAGCCACTGTCGGACACCAATGAATGGAAATTAGACACAACCTGTTGACTCGTATCTTAGCTTTAATGCAAAATTAAAAATGTCATAAGATTTCAGCATCTCACCAGCTACTTCAACAAAATAGATTTTGGACTGCTCAACAAAAAAAGGGAAACTTATTTAAGGACTGGTTTATATAGGACTTAATTTTTAATAATTTCTTTATTAAAAATACAGTTTAAATTCCGTACAAAAACATTTAGTTAGGAAAATAGAAACATTTTTGTGTCAGAAGGTTTTCTAAAACAAAGTTTTCAATTTCCTTTTTCAAAGAATATACAATGCAATCAAGTTGTAAATTTTGAATTTACCAGGTAAATGCATAATATCATGTTGTAAATTTTGCATTTACCTCTCTCTGGTAAATGAAAAAATTACAAAGTGATAGTACTGAAAAATATGGAACCAAAGATTCGATACAGTGTAAACGTACAGTTATTTTGTACGTCGAGATAATTTTGGTTGATCCTGAATTACTTTTTAGATTAAAAAATTTTGGAGTCTATTGTGAAAAACGGAGAAATGTATTGTAAAAATCGAAAGAAAAATAGCCCAAATTTAACTTATATTTAACAAAATTCTTGAAATAGCATTAAAGTTACATCATAGACCCCCCTTTTAAGTAAGCATTGAGATATATCGAGCAAAAATATAAATGATAGTAACTATTGTAAATTGATAAAACGTCGTCAATATATCTAGATGTTGAGTTGAAACAGATTTTTCTTCTTCTAATGGAGAGGGAGAGGTTTTTTTCTTAAATAAATTCTGAATCTAAGAATATATATATGAAAAAAAAAAACAACAAAAAACAGGTCGGTCAATGAATGTGCACAATCACAGTCAAGCGATTTTTTTTTGTTTATTGTTTGTTGAAAGTCATGGTCTCTTAAGAATACACAGCGATTGTCAACGAGTAACTCAGCATCTTTTTAGTATCAATTTCAGAGTAAAGTCAGAACTGTTTAAGAGACCACCTGAAATCAACGAACACTCTCGACCACAGGCAAGTTTTAATTCCTCTGTATTTATCCTTTATACATGTATTTGAACTGGAATAAACGGCAAATCGTGGAAGCGGCGCGTGGCTACTCAAATCTTTACACAAAATTATTAACACTGTTAAATGCAGCTCTTTCGTCCAATACCGGCGGCTGTTCTATCACTTGAAATTGTTTAATCAACTGTGATGATTATTAACTTTTTGTTATTGGCTTGGATAATTAAAAACTTCGATCCTACGGTCTACCCTAATCATATAAAACAGAATTAAACAAATAAGATACAATTAGATTTGTTTTCAAAACAAAGTGTCTTACAGTAGAATTACAATGTCAATTTAAGAAAGGAAATTAGTCAGACACACATATAAGTAATGTTTACTTTGTATCTTGCCAATTACAAGAGTTTGTTAAGCTCCAAGTTCTCTCTGATGATTGTATGTGATTTTTAAACTGACATCTGTCCACGGAAACAAGCGCAAAACCGTAATGGAATAATTTGAGAAAGATTAAAATTGTTGCTTCTATGTAGTAATAATTTAATTTTGTTTGTATTCTAGCCTCTGATTGGTAAATATCCAAAAAGGAACACAAATTATTTCTGTATAACCTGGTTTGGTATGGGGGCACACCCCCCTGACAACCAGCTGAATCGTCTGTATCCATGCAATCCTCTCATTCCCAGTCCTCGGGATTCATGGAAAATTCCAGATTTAATAAATGTACCTTTAGCTTCAAACAGTACCTCGGATCTTACCACATGTAAACAAAAAACATGGCTGCTAGGACTACGTATCAGTTTTTACCTCCCCTTGCTTCCCATCACTTCCGTTACTAGGGGTTGTATTATTGAGCGGCAAATTTGAACTAATAAAAAGCAACGAAATTTTACACCCACAGTTGTTTAATGATTTTAGAATTAAATTATAAGGAATGACTCTAATTCTTGGCCAAATTATTCGAGTATAACCTGGTTTGGGTCAGTTTACGCTGTTTTATAATCCGCTTCGCGGATTATAAAGCGTAAACTGACCCAAACCAGGTTATACTCGAATAATTTGGCCAAGAATTAGAGTCATTCCTAAAATAAACGTGATAAATGCATATGATTTAATATGCTTTCACATGATAAGCTGTTAGTAAGACTTGTCTTATTTTATTCTGTGATTTTTGTTAAATTTAACTTCAATGATATTTGGTTAGTATATTGATAGAATTGATTGACTTTTTCAAGGGACAAAGGGAAGTTAGAGGCCATCTGACTTAATTGACCACTTTTAAACTTCCCTAAGACGGCCCTTTAAAACATGTCGACTATACTTGTATGTAATTTTGTAGAGGAAAAAAAAAACACAAGATTGGAAAATTTACATTTTTAGTGAGGAAGTAGTTGTCTATGATGCTAAAAATCCTGCACTTTAATCTAATATGACGAATGGTTATATAAAGCGTTTTTGATGCTATTGATGTTTGAACATTTTAGCAGTTTGGTTAGGATTAAGGATATGGACTTGGTTGAACATTTATCGGACCCTGCAACATATCTCTGAATGTAAGATTTTTTAGAATCCAGTACTGATGAAATAGGTGATCGATCTAAAAAAAAAAACTTCAAACAATATAAATCTGTAAACAGGTCAAAGAACACGGACACCTGAAAATCTCTAGATATGGGATCAGGTGTCTAGGGGGAAGTAAGGTTGCCCTGACAATCGGTCACACCCGCCTGTGAGCCCTTTGTATTGATAAGGTAGACGGACTCAGTTTAGTATTAAAACAAGGTCCTAACCTACAAGCCACGTGACAGAATTTAGTATTCACAAGGTTACCTGAGGTAAGAAATTAAATGCTAAATTATAATATTCAAATGTAAGAAAAAGCAGTGTTTTCGTTTTTTTTAACAATGAGTCCATGTTTGTTCACTAATCTCCTTTTAACTCAACTTTATTAATGCAAATATACAACTATTGTTAAACGGAGAACAATGGACAAACATGCGCTGACTATCATAAAATTTGAGGGCGTCTTCATTATTGTACGGAGATACAGGAAATCGTGATGACCCCGTCTATGAAAACACATTCGAACTTCATCAATGCATACTTTTATTTTATGTTCTTTCGTAAATTACAGATCTACAAAGTTGAAGATAGGATGTTGACCATTCCTTCAATTGAAAGAAAAATGCTCGTTTTGAAAGTTTATTTTTTCGCAAATGTGGCATATCATCCTTAACTCCTGATGTATTTTCATTCAAGTGAACACGTAGCAAAATTTACACACGTATAGTAATAATGAAATTGTCTATCTATATATATAGCATTATCGATTTCAATAAAAGTGAAAAATTTTTTTATATTAAAAAGAATATTTATTTTCTGTTGTTAATTAAGTCAATTGTTCAGTGGCATTAAAACACGTAACTACAATGCTCTTAGTGCATGAAAATAACATAAAGTTAAAGACCATATAGTAAGCCTATACAAGTATCTGCTAAAACTTTGGAATTGCTAGCTTTATTCTGATTTGCATACATTTTGAGAGTGCATGTGAACGCATCTAAAATATTACCTTTGCAAACCAAGAGTAAACTTTACATACATGTAAAATTTACAACTGTTATTAAAAAAGCGTGTGTGATCTAGACATAAATTGCAGGAGCGGAGAAGATTTTCAAAACATTATTGCATTTTCAATATATATGACCAAAACATCCCCTCCTTAACACCAGAATTCCTAACCCAAGGGCCAGGAATTTCACACTTTTTGATAGAAGCACTCTTGCTGATCATATCAATGCGCTTACTTTTAGTAGTTTATCGGCTAAATATAAAGGGAAGAGAAGAACTGATGTAATTTCATTATGTAATTATTAGAGCCCCGCCTTAATCCCTCATCAAGGAGTATTGAATTTAATAATTCTTGTAGAGCGTTCAGTGCCTACATAATAGGATATAAGGAACAGACGTTCACGTATTGCATGACTCCTTCCTCACAGTGCAAGTGTGAAGCATTAGTACAGGCTTCGCGGGGGATCAGGGGATTCAGGTGTCAAACGAAATTCTGTAGAGAGACATATCTTTGCACTTGCTGATCGAATTCGTGCTCCCAGGTACTAAATACGGAGTACCCAGTTTCCTCTAAGACCGAACTCCTTCTTAAGGTTTCCTCATTTAATTTCTTATAAGTGAAGTTAGTACAGTGAGTTTCTGTCTTCAGATTGGAATAGGAAGTAGGGCTTCGATGGCAATAGCACCCGTAAAATTTGTACAAAGATTGGGTGGCCTTCTGTTATCTATCTACATTGCATGTATAAGTTCCGATCTATGGCAAAAATAATACTCCATAATTTCTTTTACAGCACCACCTTCGTGATGTGACAAATATACCGAGAATGGACCCTCAGAACAGTGGCCAAGGCATCCTCCTCTGTGAACTGTGTCAAACAGCTGCATTACAGAGTCATTGTGAACTTTGTCAGATTAGCCTGTGTAAGGCTTGTGTAGGGAATCATCTCTCAGACTCATCCCAAAGACACAAGGTTATACCATATAAACATCAAACTTCTTATCCTTCCTACCCAAAATGTCTAAACCACACACAGAAACATTGTGACCTTCACTGTGAGGAGTGTGACATTCCTGTCTGTTCAACATGCATCTTCTCTAGTGTACACAAAGGACATAATATAACTGACGCTCAGAAAAAGCTAAGGTTGAAAACAAAAGATTTAGAAAAAGATCTCAGAGAACTAGAGAAAGAAATTTATCCTGCATATGAAGAAATTGTATCAGATATAAAGTCTGAAAAAGAAACCTTGGAAGAACACTACGAGAAACTGACATCAGCTGTCACCAAACAAGGAGAAGACTGGCATGGAGAAATAAACATCATTGTCAACAAACAAAAATCTGAAATTGATGCTATGAAAACTAAACATCTGGCTGCTATTAATAAACAGGAAACTGAAATCAAGGAGAAACTTTCTGAACTAAGACAGAGTATTCTTGAACTGAAGAAAATACTGGACTCCAATGATGTCTCTTTAACCTGTTCATACAAATCTAGGACTTCTGAGTTCAAAATTACACCTCCTAAAGTCAATGTCCCGTTACTTACTTTCTCTCCTCGTCCGATAAACATAGAAAGGCTGAATCAAATGTTTGGTTCTCTGTCAGCATTATCCACTACATCAGATGAAGATGGTTACACATTGGATACATCAGAAGATATATTATATCCTCCCTCCGGTAAACCACTTCTTGATAGACCAGAACTCCTCACTACCATAGAGACGAGGCTTAGAAACATGCTATACAGTGTTACCTGCCTCAATGATGAAGAAATTTGGATATGTGGAGATGAAAATATCATTAATCTCTACAACCTCCAGAGTAAACTATTGAAGTCAATCCAAACCAAATCAGGGAAAAGACCAAATGACATAGCAGTGACAAGAAGTGGACATCTTGTTTACACTGATTCTGGTACAAGAACTGTAAATATAGTGGAGAATGATCAGATACAAGACGTAATCAGACTACAGGAGTGGATACCTTACAATCTCTGTTCTACCTCATCTGGTGATCTCTTGGTTTCCATGAACAATGATGGTTATACACAATCAAAAATTGTCCGTTACTCTGGCTCCACGGAGAAACAAACTATTCAGTTTGACAATAAAGGTCATCCTCTGTATTCATTCAGTGAATGTAAATACATCAGTGAGAATAGGAATCTAGATATTTGCACGGCTGACTATGGACTATGCGCTGTAGTCGTAGTTAATCTGGATGGACAACTCCGGTTTAGATACATTGGTCATGCCTCTTTATTCACGGGACCATTTGATCTAGTTGGCATTGCAACAGACAGCCAGAGTCAGATCCTGATATCAGACGGTAACAACAAATGTATCCACATCCTAGATGAGGACGGAAAATTCCTCTGTTACATTGATAACATTTACTTAGCTTATCCGTGTGGTTTATGTGTAGACGCTGGAGACAACCTCTTTGTTGTCGAATTAGCCACTAGCAAAGTGAAAAAAATCAAATACATGTAGGAGATCCTTTAACCATATAGTAAATTTCTGTAACCATGTTTATACAAGTATAACACAACAGCCAGGATTTATGTTATACCTGGTAATTTATATTTTGTACTTCAGGACTATTCCATCAAAAAATCTACCCGAAACCCTTATGGCAAAATCTCTTTCTATCCATGGCGGTTTCTATGAATAAATCGATTCTATGGTGGATTAATTCAATGAATAATTAGTCTATCCATGGCACTACTTTAGAAATATCTTCTAACTCCCTTTTAAATTGAAATATCAGTAAGTTTTCTGTTATTAAAACATAAACATGTATCATCAAAACATTGTTAGTAGTCACAAAAATCGAAAATCGGACCAGTAATAAAAAGATCAGGGGGTTTAGAGTCCGACTCACTTTTATCCTGTCTTTGAAATAAAAAAAAAACACTATTTATTTTTGTTTTTTATTGAATAGTAGATAAAAGAAGGGCACCGCAAAACCGAGCATCCCTTGTTTGTTTTGAACATATTTTATTGAATGAATCGAACCCGTTCACGGTAGCTCTGTCGGTAGAGCGCTCGCTCCGTGAACGGGAGGTCGTGAGTTCGAATCTCGGCCGCGACTGACCTAAGTCGATAAAAAAGGGTAGCAACTGTTCCTTCGCCATGCGCTCGGCACTTTGAAGTGAAAGTTGCGGGTCCTTCGGATGAGACCTTAAAAACCGAGGCCTCGTGTCAGGAAAGGCTTTGGCACGATAAAGAGCCCTCAATGCTTAACGGCCCTGAGTGCCGAGTAAAGGTCAAAATTTGAAGCCCTTCACCGGTATATGGTGACGTCTCTATATGAGTGAGGAATTATCGAATGGGACGTAAAACAACATACAATCAATCAATCAAATGTTATGAATCAAAAGGATTGGAAAAACAACTTACTGGTTCCTATCCTTGTATATAACAGTGTGTCATGCAAAATAAGGCATAAAATATAAATTTTACAAGTGATATAAGCGAAAATTCTGTTCAATAATATAGCAATTTAAAATCTACAAATTTCATCAATGAATTTGTGAACAACATCCCTTCGCATATCAATAAATTAAGGCAGCATTCGACATCGGTCTCGATGCAAATTATGTCACTTTCGTTAAGCACACAAGGAAAAACTTCCGTTACACACACAAGGACAATCTTACCCACAAACTTACCCACCCACACATACATGCGCTTTTCTATATCCCCTCAAACTGCTAATTATAAAATTAGTGAGAAAAAATCAATAATACATTGTTCTATCCCAGGTCCCTGTATAAACTCTGCATAATTGCTTTTTCAAGGAGGAAAAAACTTATATTTGGTATCCCGTGGAGTAGGGTAGATGTTCTACTGAAATTATCCTTAAACTTAATTTTCAAACATTTTCAATTGAAATAAATGGTTTAAAGGAATCAGTTTCCTACAAAAAAAGTTTATATCATATACACTATTTTTACCTTTATCAGTCATGGAATTTATTAAAAAAATTATTTTGAAAACAACACACTCCAAAAATGTTGAGATCACCTTTACGATGTCGATTAAGGACATTTGTCAAATTTAAAGCATGCTATGAGATACGAGGCGAAAAGTTTCTTACCTTAATAAATTACCTGTGATGTCTTCAGCCCAAAGACAAAAACACCAGATTTTTTGCCCTGGGGGAATTTCATTTGCAACTCAGAGGGAGAATATGTAACCTAGGAGATCAGAATAAAAATCTGGGCCCCCTGAACTTTAGCTACGAGTCCTGCCTACCGAACTATTATTCTGCTGGACTTTTACATTTTAAACAGTTCCCAGAAAACTGCTCATCTTTGTTATGGAGAAGAAAGCTGCAAAAATAGGAATTTGTTAATTTTCAGTTATTATGTCTATATTTTACCAAAAATAATCAATGTGAAAATTTGTAGCTTGCAATTATACCAATGGTCAAAGTTAAAATATCTTCTTCATTTAAATTAAATGTGACGAATTGTGATTAAAAAAAAATCACTCATAATATATTTGTAGCATTATAGTATTATAGTTGTTTACTACTGGACATTTTTGATTGGGTGAACTACCACAGTTATAAGCGACTATGGATAAAAAGTGCGGAAACCATGTTGTGCAAAAGAGAAAAAACAACGAAAAAATAAAACTGACATAATCTAATCAACCGAATTAGATACTTCAGATACCGCATTTCAATTTTTTAATGGTTCAAAATAAAAAGCATTTCATAAAAGTATCATGTTAAAAGATTTTCATCACTTTTGGCTTGCTGTAGGTTGTTTATTGTAAAAACCGGGTTAAAATAATTTGAAATATAAATTCCAACCTATCTCTGTTGTTGATATCTGGAAACAATAAAAGAAATCTTTATGAATTTACAATCATCTCTCCTCGCATTTTTCACTGTTTGTCTCCGTGCTGTACTTTTGCATCTAAATCTTGTGTCTTTCTGGCCGCTCTGTTGAAAAAACAAATTGTTAAAATCAAAATAATGTCAATGTTTTTACTATTTCTGCTAGATATAAAGGAAAATAATTTCCTAGGAATAATTATTTTTTTAATTTGTGATCTGTTTAGCTCTTATGATAATTATATAGATTGTTTCCTCGGAATAAAAGTTTGAAGAGGATTGTTAAAATCTCTCATTGAGATTCCAATTCAGATCCTTCCCTGTATGAAAGCCTGAAATAACTTTAAGGTAAAGTTTCCTCCAATCGAATGTGTTCATTAATAATTTCATTATTTGTATCTTTAATTCGAAATATGTTTTTGTGATTGTAACATATTGATTCCTCTGCGCAATTGAAAATATCAAAAATTAATTTTTATACATTATTAATCAGAGACCGTAAAAATCATCCATATTTAAGCTTTGCTCTTACGATTCTAATCTTGACCACTGCTGATTTAATTTTATCCCAATTTGAGACATGGACTTTAACTTCATAATCTTCTTGGACATCTACCTCACACCAATCTATTAACAACTGGCAGTCAAAACCATTAATAATCATTTTATTTTGTTTAATTGTACTAAGAGTTTATTTTCCGCACGATCAGTAAACGTTAACTTTAAAAAAAAAACTACTTATTTTTTATGAGTTTAATAAATCCTCACTGAGTTAACGTTGGTCTTAGATTAAAGAGTCTCAAACCGGAACATTTCGTTTTCAATACAAAACGTTTATGTCACAAAACTTTGATTGAAAGATAAACCTTTATATTGAGAGCTTCGTGATCGGGAGGCTCGGGTTCGATTCTCGTTCGCCGCGCCGAGTCAAACCTAAGACTTAAACATAGGTATTGACTGTTCCTTCGCCATGCGCCCTGTACTAGAAGTGAAAGTCACGGGTCTTTGGATGAGACCTCAAAAACCGAGGTTCCTTGTCACGGTAGGCGTTGGTATGATAAAGAACCCTCACTGCTCAATGGCCCTGAGTGCCGTGTAGAGGTCTAAATTTGAAGCCCTTCACCGGTATATGGTGACGTCTCTATATGAGTGAAAAATTCTCGAATGGGATGCAAAACAACATGGAATCAATCAGTCAATAAATCGATTCATTTAAAAAAAAAAATATTTAAGAAATGAAGTTTTCATCGCACATGTCATTGCAGAAATACTGGACATTTTCAACTGAATAATTATAAGAAGATTATTTAGTTGGATTAATAAAATAAAAATTTGGTTGTAAATCTTTTTGCTTCAAAAAATTAACTTTTTTTAAGGAAAGGGTTTTGTTTTAGGTTCATAGTTTTTACTACTATTTCTTAAACAGACCCTTGTTATTTGCTCAGATTCTCTAATTGCTATGTATACTTCGTAATCAACTCTCGACTATTTGTACATAATATTTTCTTAAGGTTTGGTTTAATTAATGTGTCTTCAGTAAATTTATAATGGCCTAATTAAAGTAAAGTATGATGATGGGTTTTCTAGACAGGCGTAGTATCGTAGTATTGCGTGCACTTGCATTACTTTTATTTTGATTCGTTAACATACCAACAGATATATGTCTGTTTGAGAAAGGAACGTACTACAAATGCCTAAAGAGTCAGGTGTGATTAGATGAAGGTAACATTACAAGAGGAACATTCCTCCGATGTGGTGTTTGTTAATCTGTTTCAAAAATGCATTCAATGAATGGGAAGTACCTCTCACAGTTTCTACTTTAAGTTCGTCATAAAATGAACTCAAAATTGACAGTTCATACTGTTTTGGGGGACATTATTAAAACTTCCTTATCTTTTCATGCGTTTCACGATTATATTGAGTAAGTACAACACCTTTTCAGCTTTCAGCGATTATTAAGTGAAGTAAATTAATTAATTAATATATATATATATATATATATATATATATATATATATATATATATATATATATATATATATATATATATATATATATATATATATATATATATATATATATATATATATATATATATATATATATATATATATATCTACCTAGGCTATGTTTAGGGTTATATTAAATCATTGACATCACCGAATAAAGAAAGGTATTATTTCGGTTGCTAATTAAGATATAAAAGAGAAACAATGAAGCACTTGATTAATATACACTTATAAAATGATTAATTGATTGATTTCCATATGTTTTAGCATTTACTGTGTATGAGTGCTATTGTGTTTGAAAATATATTGTGTAAATATCTATCGTTACACATTTAATTATTCTGTGAAATATGGAGTTAACGAACAGTATTTAAGCTCATAGTCAATTTAAACGATACAAATGGGGAGCAGAGCAAACACAGACCTCCAAAATCATCTGGGGTGGGATCAGGTGCCATGGAGTAGTGAGCATTCTCTGTCGACCGGTCACACCCGACGTGTGCACCTTGTCATGATCGGGAAAAAACGGTTAAATCCGTAGAGACAGTTCAGTGTGTAAATAATGGCCTAAGAATTAGTATGAAAAACGTCAGTCAGCATTTGACTGAATGATTGGTTGTATTTGCTGACAAGGTCATTGTATCGACCATAAAACTTGCAAAATGATGACTTCAAACGAGACTTTTGATATCCTTGTTTCATCAACTTCTTTGTCAAAAGCTTTCCTCGTTTTAGAAATTGTTCATACGTAGAGCATGCTCTTGCTTATCGAATCAACTGGGAGACAAAAACCCTATATGCAGGTGATAAGGGTATATTGCTATATAAGTAAGGGAAGTTGACGATTGAAAAATTGAAGTCATCACGTTTATAATAAAGCTTTGTTGTTATATTACCATTACAGTCTTTTTCTAGTAAAACATCCAAATATGAAACAGATGTGTCAGACTCCGTGGTATCTTTTATTTCAAGCTCACTGAGATATATCGAGTTGATATATGAATGAAAGTAACTATTGTTAATTGATAATACGTCGTCGATATATCTGAATGTCGAGTTGAAGGCCACAGCAAGTGTTTTCATTATCAGGTAGAAGTTTTTGAATAAATTCTGCTTCATATGAATACAAAAATAGGTCTACTAATAAGGAGGCGCAATATGTATCCATGTAAGTATCATATTAACTGAATACATCTACTTCAACAGAAACTTTGGTGAGCTAAAATTTGTTCTATTTTCAATTCTACAATTCAAAAAGGTTCTGTCTCCTGAGATGCATGAAAATGTGCCCAGAAATAGAGCTTGAACATTTTTATTTCTAGATTTACCACAGATGACAAGACAATCAAAGAGGGTAATTTAGAAGGAAGAGAATAAGACGCTCATTAGAATATAGCATCATGGGAGCATGCCTCACAACACAACGGTGTTCTCAATGTTTGGAAGACTCGGAATTCTATTGCCACACCTGTGATAAAAACTTCCGTATTCCTTGTAAGGAGGGACATGTGATAAACCTAGACACCAAACACCACGATGTAGCGATTGGCTGTTTAAGGTATGGCGACCGTATGATACCAGAGTCATGTGAGGAGAATCCAGGCAGGAAATATAAATATTGGTGCCAGACATGTCGGCGCCCGGTCTGTGTCAAGTGTAAAAATCACCGGAATCATGAAAAAAGGGATTTGGTGAATACCTTCAAGACATTTATACAACAGAACAGAGAAAGAATTATTCTCATTAGAAGTGAGATTCTTTCTTACAATCGTGCTATCCTGGCACAGATCAAATCTGACTTTAAAAGTTGTAATACAAAAATATACAGACTCCAATTGGAGATGAATTCCAAAGTAAAGAACCTGAAAAGTCAAATAGAAACGTGTACAGTTCTTAAGGATGTAAGTGGCTCAAATCTCTATTTTGACTCGCAGTTACAGCAAAGAAGAAATGTCACATACATACATAAATATATACAAAGATATGAAAAGTCAGAAAACAGACCAGTTCAATTCCTCTTTTTCCTAAAGAAAGTCCCTGTTCCCAAGATAAAGAGTATTCCCGGTACTTTAAAACTCTCTCTTACTGAGGAAATAATCATGGAGGACCTTTCAGAGTTGCTTGGAAAAATTCACATCAAAGAGACAGGAGAAAGAAAAGTAGGAAATGAGGAGCTGTTGAGAGTGATGTCTACCGCCGTATTACAGAAATTATTTACCGTGACTGATTTGAGAGGTGCTGCAAGTCACATTTCCTGTGTCATGCCAGACCGGGCCTGGGTCAATGATAATAAAAATCTTATCTTGACCAATAGAACAGGCGGAGCCCTTTCTCGTCTGACAGACATATCCAGTCCGTATGGCATACACACAGTGACAAGAAACGGTGATTTAATTTATATAGATAAAAATTCTGATCTAGTTGTACTGTCTGCAAAGAACAAAACAAAATCTCCATTAATAAAGATTAAAGACCCATGGACGCCGCGCTGTGTCTTCTCTTCCTCATCTAATGGAGATCTACTTGTTGCTACAATTTGTTATCATAAAAGAAAACGTAGGTATACAGAGGCCAACATAACCCGATACAACAGTGATGGACAACAGCTCCACGTCATTCAGCGTAACAACACGGGCGAGAATCTGTATACCGATCCCATATACATCACTGAAAACCGGAATGGAGATGTTATTGTATCTGATATGTTCCGCCGTATGGTAGTCGTAACAGACTGTGGAGGAAGATATCGCTTCTCCTACAGAGGGTCCCCATCAATTCAAGGATTCTTAGTACCATTTGGAATCTGTACAGATGCGCTATCAAACATCCTAGTGTGTGATGGATACTCGAAAACCGTACAAATGATTGACAAAGACGGTTACTTTCTGTCACTGCTACTGACACAACAAAATGAGATAAACAGACCAGGAGGGTTATGCTATGATGATAAAACTCACCTTCTCTGGGTCGGGTCGTGGTGGGACAACACAGTCTCTGTATACAGATACATACAGTCGAAAGATTTTCTCATAGGTGGTTCTGATTAATCAATTAAATACTTTTTATCTAACTTTTGTGTGTTTTAATCCCCTTCCCAAAGTGAAATATACGGGGATAACGAACAGTATTCAAGCTCAAAAGTCCATTCGAACAATACAGATCAGGAGCAGAGCAAACATAGGCCTCTAAAACATCAGAGGTGGGATCAGGTGCCAATGAGGAGTGAGCATCCCCTGCTGGACACACCCGCCGTGTGCTCCTTTTCATGATCGGGAAATAACGGAAAAATCCGTCGACAATTCAGTGTGTAAATAATGATCTAAAAACTAGTATGAAAAAGTCAGTCAGCATTTGACTTAATGAAAAATTGTTTTTGCTGACAAGGTCATTGTATCGACCATTATAGAACTTACGAAATGATGACTTTAAACGAGACTGTTGATATTCATGTTTAATCAACTTATTCCTCATTAGCTTGCCACGTTTAAGAATTGTAATACAAGCGTATGCTGTATATCTTACTAAGCGTCATCCATATTAATTCTTGCACCAACTCAGAGACTCTTGAATTGTCATCTCAAATAATATAGGATATAATGTATAAGAACATGTCTGTGACGTTATCTTTATTATAGTTAAAAGGAAAAAGATTAAAATGGGATGAAAATATTTCTGTGTTCATTATCTTCCCTTTTACTTTTGAATTCTTTTGAAGAGGACTGCTGGTTCTTCGCTCTGATTCGTATGAGGTTGTCTACCAGTTGTAATCACACTACAACAGGATCTTCATCACCTCCGATTTTTTGCATGTATTTCTTGTAAAACCCGTGGGTTACACACACTGCAAATATAAATTCCTACTCATCTCCCTTGGTGATATTCGAATAGCAATTAAGAAAACTCTATAAATTTACAATCATCTCTCCAAGCAGTCATCTCTCTTTTGCATATGAATCCTTTGTCTTTCGAGTCGCTCTGTGTCTTTTAAAAAACTGTAAAACTTAAAAAGCATGTCAGTGTAGTTAAAAGCAGATTATTTTCATTTTCATTTACTTTACCTTTTAGTAACAAATGAAGAAGGGAATCAATGCTCATAAATGTAAACATAATAACTTGAAGAAAGCCATGGTTTGTGTTTTTCTCATTAGATACCTAATAAGTATAATAATTTCTGAATCCTCGTGATAACCCTGCTGGAAACTTTCCGGTTGGAGATGTCCTGTTTTGTGAAAACGCATTTTCTGCAGTACTGAACGTGAATGTCTCATACAGCACGAGTGATGTTTTCTCAGTGTTTTTTAAATTTCAGGTATTTTTTGCGAAAGAGAATATGCAGTTCTCGATCTGTGGAATTTGGTGTCCAATTATTTTCCCCCTAGATGCAAAATATTTGCTCTGAGTCCTAGGTACATGTAGGATTCTTAAAATCTAATATCTCTAATATTCTCTAATATATCAGAAAACAATACTATCTTTGGTGGCGTGCTCAATCTAGCTCAGATCCATTAGTTTTATCCCTAGCAATGACTGTAAACCTTTTATATTTCGGTGTTCAACAAATAATTATACCCGAAAAGTTCGAATTAGCCTGGTGAGATCCAGGAGACAACATTGATGAATCAGGTATATTATTAACGGAAGCATTGCGAACAAAAAAGTTACGCTATGTTTAAGATTTCATTACATTAAAAAATCCATGGAAATGTATCTTGCCTTGTCATCGCTAGAACGCCTTCAGAGATCTTAAATCAGTAATTCGCTATGACATATATTTTGCAGCTATGTAATCAACTTTTTTTCTGGACAAACATGCTTGTATGGGAAAATATATTTTCTGGTGTCATACTAAATTCACATGTTCAATGACATAGATGTACCAGCATGACTTATAAACCGACAAATCAGTCAAGCGAGTTGAATTCCATTTTGCTTACTATGAATACTATAGGTAGTTTACTTATAATATACTTATAATAAATATGTTCTACCATATCTTGGAAAAATCAATGATACCTTATATACATAAAAAACAGTATGTCCTTTTTCATCTACTATAGTTTCATTTTCACATTTACAAACAATTGTTTAATAATTCAGAATTCTAGTTTCTTGAATTTAAATCTCAATAGCATGTGCTAGAGGACACGGTGGATATGTACAACAAAATTAATCTACAAAACTGAATTTACAATGAAGTATAAACTTGAGGATCGTATAAATAAATACATCTACTTAAGCTTCTAAATAAGAAGTGATTCATCCAAAATGCCTAATATAAGTATATAAATACAGTTTCCCATTTAAGGAAAAAAGGGACTGGCTTTCTTACACCCTTCCATTTTACAAATGTATCCGTTGAAAACTAGATAAAATATCTCAAAAAGAGTCGAAAAGGTTATAATGTTGGTAACATGTAATGTTTAATAGCATACATAAATAGAAAAAATCTTTGTCGATCACAATAAATTTGGAAAGGAGGGATGACCACAATGCCTGGGACTTTGTCAAGAATATCGATACCCGAGATAACTCTTACAGGGTATTTAATTCACATGATCTCAAAAACTCTCGAGTCAAGCCCAGGAAGTAGATTGTCGGTATCCATGTATTCTAGTTTGGGAGGTCATCTTAGATTTACAGGTGAGACCCTATAACAACTTAAGGTATGGCACTCGTGAAAATACTTATATCAAGGATTTTTTGAGAAGTATATTTTACATAAGTACTCATATAGAATGATTCAAAATCGCAAAGAAAATTAGGGGGTCAGTGTGCATCTTACTGAGCAAAGGTACAATTATAATTTAATTTGACCTTTTTGCACTTTAATTGTAACACTTATGTTAATCACTTTAATCTTAATCATATTTTACCAGATGTAATAATGGCAATAGATGTAATCTAAACATATATTATCTAAATATTTTCTTGTATCAAACTTTTTATGACTTTTGTGCTGATTGGTTTGAGATACCGTGTAGTTTAAAATAATGAAAGAAAAAAAATTGGGTCAGTGATGTGAATTTTGAGATATTGGTCAAAACATGCGAGTTTCGGATAAAAATAATATGAATTTTATCTTGACTTCTTTAATATATTTTCATTTCTTGGCAAAGTCTGTTGAGTGAATGTGTAAATTTGTTCTAAAAATATACATTGAAAGCTATATTTAATATTCCTAGCATATAATAACGGAAAGTATTCTCTGAATAAAAATATGTGGGGCGAAAGTTCTAAGATATTTATTGTAACAAATGTGTAAATTTGAAGAATTTTCTAATTATCTTTCCACCATAAAAAAAATAGTATCCCATAAATCTTGTTTCTTTATGACGTTGTGAGCAGTTTTTAAATCAAATATTGTATAATTTGCTTTGTTTAATTCAAATATGTTATAAAAATTGAATTTTAATGAATAAATTCCAAGTTAGAGATTTTGACCAAACTTTTCTTAAAAGCTGACGAGTGACATACCTTAAAGTTTTATCTATATTGCTGTGGACGTACCTGAAGTTCCTGGTGTATAATTTCAATAATTCGCGACATGCCTATAATTTGCCTTGAAAAGCCGTGGGTCAGAAAGAAGTCTCAAGAACTTAGTTCTATTCTTAATATTCACTAAAATTTTAAGTTTAATTGAGGATAATTTGGGGTTTTAAGGACATATATCTTTAAGTTTTTAAAATAAGCTAGTTCATGTGGATGTTACCTTTCTTCCTCAATGACTTTAACACAATTAGACATAAGGGATAGTCTGTCTGCATGAAATAATTAATCCCAAAAACTTCAAAAAGTTGTCCTTTTTGCAAAACAAAATTACAAACATATCTATGAATCAACATAGATCAGTACAGAGTGTTCTATAACATATGATACCAGTCGAATTGACCAAAAAGAAGGGTATATTGTCCACACATCTTTAACAGAGTCAGTGGTTATTTACCATGTGTAATGTAACAATTAATGCAACCAATAAAAAATGAATTTTATTCTAGTTTGTATAAAAATTTAAATGTTTTTTTCCCATTTTTGATGAAATATAAACCACTTTAATCTAAAAATTGATTTTGAAAAATTCCACTTTCAATTTTGAACTTACTTGTGCTTGCAGTACATGTATTTTACGTTACAAATCACTGGAATAAAATCTTTCTTAAGATATAATAATAGTGCGCCATAAAATCTTTTACAGCATCACCTTTATCATGTGACAGAGAAACCTGTCATGGAACCCCTGGACAGAGCTCAGACACTCCTCATCTGTGACCTGTGTCAAAGAGTTATTGTGAACTTTGTAAGATTAACCTATGTAGGGTCTGTGTAGGAGAGCATCTCTCAGATTCATCCCAAAGACACAATATTGTACCATACAAACACAGAACAACTTCTGTTCCTAACTACCCAAAATGTCCAAACCACAGTCGAATATATTGTGAACTTTACTGTGAGAAATGTGACATTCCTGTCTGTTCTACTTGCATCTCCTCTGGTAAACGCAAAGGACATGATTTATTAGAAGTTCTGCAAAAACTTAGTTTGAAAAGAAAAGATTTAGAAAAAGACCTGAAAAAATTTGTGAATGGTATTTATCCTGCATATGAAGAAATTGCATCAGATATAAAGTCTGAAAAACATAACTTGGAAATACACTACAAGAAACTGAGAACAGCTGTCAGCAAACAAGGTGAAGACTGGCACAGAGAAATTAAAATCATTGTCCACAAACAAAAACCTGAAATCGATGAGATGAAAGCTAAACATCTGGCAGTCATAAATAAACAGGAAAATGAAATCAAGCGGAAAATTTCAGAACTAAGACGGAATATTCTTAATATGATAAAAATACTGCATTCAAATGATGTCTCCCTAACTTCTACAAACAAATCCAAGAATGCTGAATTCAGAAGTTTATCTCCTAAACTCAATTTTTTCATTACCAAGTTTCTCTCCTCATAAGACCACTCAAAAACAGCTCCATCAAATGTTTGGTTCTCTGTCAGATTTATCCTTTACAATAGAGGAACATGATTATACAATGGAAACACCAGAAATTGTATCCTGTTCTCCCTCAGTCATAGAACTGCGTGATGAACCAGAGATCATTATTACCATAGACACTGGGTATAATCTATACAATGTTACCTGTGTCAGTGATAAAGAAATATGGACATGCGGAGTTACCAAAATCATCAAACTCTACAACCTCCAAGGCAAACTGCTGAAGTCAATACAAACCAAATCAGGGAACTTTCCAAAGGACATAGCTGCGACAAGGAGTGAAGATCTAGTTTATACTGACTCTGATACAAGAACTGTAAACAAAGTGAAGGATGAACAGATACAGGAAGTGATAACACTACGAGGGTGGAAACCTCTCTATGTCTGTAGTACCTCCTCTGGTGACTTCCTGGTTACCATGAACAGTGATGATAGAGAACAATCAAAAGTCCGTTGCTCTGGATCCACAGAGACACAAACCATTCAATTTGATAGTAAAGGTAAACCTCTTATTCTTCTGGTGAAGATAAACACATAAGTGAGAAAAGGAACCTGGATATCTGTGTGGCTGATTTTGGAGCCAATGCAGTAGTGGTTGTTAATCAGGTACTAAAACTGCGATTTAGATACGGTGGTCATCCGTCTAATACCAATCGATCATTCTATCCAGTCGGCATTACAACAGACAGCCAGAGTCAGATCCTATCAGCTGACTGCAACAACTACTGTATCCACATCCTAGATCAGGACGAACAGCTCCTCCGTTACATTGATAACTGTGATTTTAACCATCCAGTGGGTTTATGTGTGGACACCAGAGACAACCTCTATGTGGCTGAGTTTTTAAGTCGTAAATTGAAGAAAATCAGATACATGAAGGAAATCCATGCAGTCAATTAGTATTACCATATTTGAAACAACTACAATATAATAGGCAGAATTTATATTATACCAGTAATTCTCTTTGTAAAATGATATAAACAATTCATGTATAAATTAACTTGAATTTTTCATGTGAAACAAATTGTAAAAAACAATTAACTCTGTAGATACCAAGGGACGAGGGACTCAAGAGTGGTTAACAACACTAGATGTAACAGGAAGGGAGAGTATGTGACGAAGCAGACCGGAATTCAAACCTGGGCCTTCTGAACGTAGGTCATGTCTCTTCCAACTGAGCTAACTTTCCTCCAGCGATCTACCCTGCCTGACTGCCACATATGCTATAGTTTTCTCATGAAACTGTTCAAAGCTTAGTTGTTTTTGAAGAAGAAAGTTTCAAATGAAAGTAATTTTTTTTTTTACTTTTTTTCATTGTGTCCATATTTTATTGGAAATAATCAAATTTCAAAATAGGTTGTTTGCAATTATACCGACTTGAACATATCTGTATTTTAATCTAAATGTGACACATTGTGATGTACAAAAACAACTCATTGATTATATCATTATAGTATTACTTTTATCTACTATTTTACAATACGACTTTTTTTTTAAATTATGTAGTCTTTATACTTGGAACCAATATGGAAATTAAGGGAGCCGAAGGGGGTTTTATTGTGTGAAAACTAATAAAGAAAACTCTTTAATTTTATACCATGTGTACCTTACATTGACTTCAGTATACATGCCAAGTTTAGTGAAAATATACCGTCTGGTTATTTTTCGGGGACCATCTCAAAACACAGGTACATTTACTACAGGATTATGTTGGAAAATACTATTTTTTCGCACTTCGGAGCAAATTATACAAATGCTACGATAGAACTTTTGCTCAAATTATATCATTTGATTAGCAATACTATATTGTACATTTTATGCAAAAAACACAAAATTCTACCGTCTGGTTTCCAGAGGGGGGATCTCTAAATGTCAAAATTCATGATATTTTCCTGTTTTTATGGAGTACAGCAAAACATGATAGATACCACAGATTTATATTAAAAAAATTATAAAAATGATTGCCAGATTCTCAATTTCCTATGTGTAAAATTTCAAAAGCATCTATTTTATACTTTTTATTTTATGACATAATTAATGATTCCCCCTTAAAGAACTTCGGTTATTCAAAATGTAAAAAACACACTATTACGACGTCTATCTATCCATCATTTAAAAAATCGTTTTAAAAAAAATCACTTATTTAAAAACGTAATTAGATTTTTTAACCTGAGATTTCCTAATTTTGTTAATTTTAATAAATTATGTAAAAATAGTTGCTTTAAAATAGTAAGTACACTTTATTTTACTAAGCTGCGCGAAGTATTGCGCAATGAAAACCCCAGTCGGCCCCCTTAAATGCAACATATGTGATACTAAATAAACCTTTAAGCTATACATGTACATGCTATTACAGTTATATAGGTTTATCAATGGAATATCAATAACAATAGAATTATGTTTGATCAAAGTATAGTTTTACAAAATGAATTCATCAATAGACTTGCATGTTAAAAAAATGAAAACGGACTATACAGTATAAATTTAACCTGTATTAATATCTACGATTTTGTTTAAAAATTACACTTTCTAAAAGCATACTCTCTTCAAAAGGTTGTCATTCATTGTTTAAAATTAAGGTTGAAATATCATTACCTACCAAATGTGCCCTCTTGATAAATTGATGATACATGTAAGAAATAAATCATTTTCAGCCGAAAATCACCTTTTACACTATGGTAAAATGTGAAGATAACTAACAGTCGATCTCTAAAAAATCTAAAAACAAAAGCAAATCTGTGAAAAGGGCAGAAGAGGGCATAAAACACGGACTCCTGGAAATTCCATAGGTGGGATCAGATGCCTAGGATCTAGTAAGCATCCCCCGTTGACCGCCCTCCGTGAGCCCTATCAATTGATCAAGGATACATTGCATAGTCAAAACTAGTATAAAAACAAGGCCTTACATTTAGTACGAAACAAGTCAGCCAAAATACGACATAATGATATGTTTTATTTGCTAACAAGGTCATTATAGCGACCATAGAATTTGTGAAATGCTGATTTTAAAGGAGGTTGTTAAAATTTCTGTAACATCAGGTTATCTGTCCATAGCTTGCCTCAGTTTTAAAAATTGATTGTACTCAGAGCAAGCTCTAGAGTAGCAAATAAGTTGGGAGACATAAACACCATAAGCAGTGATAGTGGAATATTACTATATAAATAAGGAAAGTTGACGATGGAAAAGCTGAAATCATCTCGTTTGTAATACAATTTGGTTGTTAGTTGGCCCTCATCGTCTATAGTAAGGAAAACATCCAAATATAAAGGAAATGTTGAAGACTCTGTGGTGTCTTTTATTTCAAGTTCACTGGGATATATCGAGTCGACATATGAATGAAAATAACCATTGTTAATTCATAAAACATCGTCGATACCAGTATATCTGAATGTCGAACTGAAGGTCACATCAAGTGATTTCCTCTTCTCATATAGAAGGTTTTAAATAAATTCTGCTTTATAAGAATATAAAAAACAGGACAGCTAATAAAGGAGCATAATTATTACCAATAGAAATTTCAACAGCTTGTTGGAAGACCTAGTCTCCGAAGACTGCATATACGTTGTCAATGAGGAACTCCTGCATCCTTTTAATATCAACTTCATAGTACTTGTGTGTACAATCAGAGTGGTTTTTAACGAAGTAATTTTGCTGTTGACCAATCACAAGATGTGCAAGTTTCTGAGTTCCGTTTTTATTGAAGAAGCAGATGTCTATGATACCAAAAAGTCTTGATTTTAATTTATCTTGAGGCATTGTTGTATAAAGTGCAGAAAGTCGTAAGTTTTGATGTTATAGACTTTTGAAAAATATGATGGTTTTAAATTTTCTTAAAGTTCTTTAGAGTTTTTGAGGATCAACATCTGATTTTCAAGAATATGCTGTAGCACAGTACGTCTGAAGTTTCCCCTTTGCAGCAGTTAATAATTTTGTAAGGAGTCTGTTTGACGATCAGAACTTCTCAAAAAATATTGCGGATAGAAATGCTAGTTTTCTTAATGTCATATCTGTTACGTGTAACCTTCTAACCCTAACCCTAACCCTGACGTCTAACCCTAACCCGGTTACGTGTAACCTTCGATAAGTTTATTCCTGAAATCAAACAAAACATTTTCTAAATAATATGTATTTAGAACAGTTTTTACAATAACCCTGCTTTTGTCTTGTTGACATGCATTAAACTTTAAACTTTAAAACTTTAAAAGTATCAAGAATATCAATACCCTAAATAAATCACATGATCTGAAAGTAAGGATTTTCAAAATCCCTGAACACTTACTTGAGAAGGCCATCTTGAATTTACAGGTAAGTCTTCTAACAATTGGAACTCAATAGTGCCTAGCTATCGACCACCTGGGACAAAATAGGTCCAAGATAGTTCAGACAATTATGGGAAAGAACTCATCATGGGTATCCAGGCACTTGGAAACATGAATGAGAATAGAGAGCTGTTCACAGATTTTTGACATTCAATGACCTTGTGATAGGAGGAAGTGTCTACCAGCACAAAAACATCCACAAAGAGACTTGGATCTCCCGTGATGGAAAAACCAAGAACCAGATAGACTTCATTACTATCTCAAGGAAGTGGAGACGCAGCCTCCTTGATACAAGATCAAGAAGAGGGGCTGATGTAGCTTCAGACCACCACCTAGTACAAGGCACTATTAAAGTCAAGTTGAAAGCCTTCAAGGACAACTGTGACCACACATCAAGTTTAACACCCAGAGACTTCAGGAAAAAAGGCACAAGAGACACCTTTAGCATCACACTGAAAAACAGATTTGAGGTCCTTAACAACGTCTGTCAAGTAACACCACTAGAAGAACACTGGAACTCCATCAAAGACAACTGGAAAGACACATGCGAAGAGATCCTAGGGAAAAGAGAAAAGCAAGACAAGGAATGGCTTTCAGGAGACACATGGAAACTGGTTGAAGAAAGAAAACTTCTCAAACAGCAGATTATGAGCTGTGAGGAGGAACAAAAGAAACAAGAATTAAAAGACAGACACACTATCCTAAACAATGAAGTAAAGAAAAGTGCAAGGAGAGATTAAAGACACTTCTATAATAAGCTAGCTACAGAAGCTGAGGAAGCGGAAGAGAAAAGAGACTTCAGTACCATGTACAAAATCACAAGAACCCTGGCTGGGAAGAGACCACCACAGACCAAGCCAGTAAAAGACAAGGAAGGCAACGCTATAACAAAGGATGAAGACCAGAGAAAACGCTGGGAAGAACACTTCAGAGAACTCCTAAATCGCCCAACACCAGAAACAACACCAAACATACCACCAGCAGACTCTGAACTAGCAGTGATCACCGCCCCTCCCACAAGGGCTGAGACCATCAAGGCTCTGAAGAAACTAAAGAGTGGGAAAGCAGCTGGGCCTGATGGAATTCCTCCAGAAGCCCTTAAGGCAGACATAAAGACTTCAGCAGATATGTTACTACCTCTCCTGCAGAAGATCTGGTCAGAGGGGAAGGTACCAGCTGATTGGAAAAAAGGACATTTAGTGAAGCTACCCAAGAAAGGAGACCTGGGACAATGCAAGAACTGGCGTGGCATCATGCTCCTCTCTCTCCCAAGCAAGATCCTGACAAGAATAATACTGGAAAGACTCAAAGATACTATAGCAGAACGACTTCGTCCAGAACAGGCAGGCTTTAGAAAGGACAAGTCCTGTACAGACCAGATCGCCACTCTAAGTATAATAATCGAACAGTCACTAGAGTGGCAGTCAACACTGTATCTGAACTTCATCGACTTTGAAAAGGCCTTTGATAGTGTTGATAGAAAAGTCATCTGGAAACTACTCCAGCATTATGGAACGCCTCCTACCTTTATCAACCTCATACAACAATTGTATGACGAGGCTACATGCCAAGTCATCCACAATGGAAAGCTCACAGAAGCGTTTGAGGTACAGACAGGGGTTAGACAAGGCTGTCTACTGTCACCAATGATTTTTCTAGTGGTAGTGGACTGGATCATGCGGGAAACAACTAGAGATAGCAAGACAGGAGTCCAGTGGACTTTAACTCAGTGTTTGGAAGACCTCGACTTTGCAGACGATCTATGCCTTATGTCCCAGAAATATGAGCATATGCAACTCAAGACAAATAGGCTTGCAAAGGAAGCAGCAAAGACAGGTCTACAGGTGAACATCGACAAGAAAGAGGCAATGCGGCTCCACAACAAACAGCAAACACCAATTACGCTTGGAGAGCACAACCTGAAAGATGTAGTTTTCTTTACATACTTAGGCAGCATTCTAACAATCACTGGTTGAACAGATGAAGACATAAAAGCAAGAATTAATCAAGCGAGACACGTCTTCAGCACCCTCAAGCCTGTGTGGAAATCAACAGCACTGTCCACACCCATAAAACTTCGCATCTATAACACCAATGTCAAGTCTGTGCTCCTCTACGGGTCTGAAACATGGAGAGTCACCAACACCACCTCCAACAAACTACAAACCTTCGCAAACAGATGTCTGCGCCACACACTAAACATCAGATGGCCAGAAAATATAAACAACAAGAACCTGTGGGAAACAACAAACCAAGACCCAATCACTAAACAAATAGCCCGTAGAAAGTGGCGGTGGATTGGACATACCCTCCGAAAACCATCGGGAGACATTACGCGCCACTCACTCATGTGGACCCCCCGAGGCAAACGGTGAGTTGGGCGTCCCAGGACAACTTGGCGAAGGTCATGTGAAGAGGAAATCAGACAGTGTGGACATAGCTGGAAACAATTGAAAAAGGCTGCTCAAAACAGAGTGCGATGGAGGACTGTTGCCGAAGCCCTATGTTCCACCAGGAATCAAAAGGAACCATGATGATGATTGCCCCACCCTTCAGGGACCATGAAATGCACAAATTTTGTCCCCCTTCACCAATAGATGCTATGTGCCAAAATTGGTTGAAATTGATTGAGCTGTTTCAGAGAAGAAGCTGAAAATGTTCACGTTAACGCACGACGCACGCCGACGGACGAAAACGGAAAGCAATAGGTCAAAAATAAATGAGGTCAGCACTATAAATCAGGGTCAGTCGGGAAAGCGAAAACAAACATTTTTTTCTAAAAATATATGATCAAACAATTTCAGTTGAAGTAATATTTTAAAGAAATTAAGTCTGTAGTTTCCTAAAAAGTTTATACCACAACAATATATACTAGACTAAGTACACTGTATGTCTTTTTCAGTCAGAGAATTAATTAAAACAAATTATTTTGAAAAATTACACACATTACGATGAAAAACAGTGTGGGGATGACTCTTGCAATGTCAGAATTGAGACATTTAACATGAAGTTAAGATTAATGCATGAGATACGACGGAAAAACGTTTATCTTAAAAACAACTTGTTTAAGTTCAAAAATTTAAAAATGTCTTCAAACCAATGCCAATCCAGATTCTTTAGCCCCTAACAGGACTTTTATTTGCAAGTCAGAGTGTGGTCAACATCACCAAAGTAAGGGATATTACAAGATGGAGCAGACCTGGATTTAAATCTGGGCGCAATGAACTTAAAGTACCTGCTCTACCGAGGTATTTCACCACTGGCAATCAACCCTGCCTGCTTGTTACATTTGGTACAGTTCTCACAAGAAACTGTTTTCAGTTGTTAGAAGAAAGCTGCAGATGACAGCAATTTATTGTTTTTCTGTCATAGTGTCCATATTTTACATGTAGCCAAATGTCAAAATTATACCCATCATTAATGGTGAAACTTAAAAATTTCTCTCTCTCTTTTTAATTTATATGTGTCATATTGTGGTGTACAAAAACTCTCAATGATATTGTATCAGAATTTGTAATGTTATATTTGTCTACTACATTACTATACAATTGTTTTCAACAATTCAGTATTTACCATACATGGAATCAACATGAATCTTGTTCAAGAAATTGCATATAGATATCAAATAAATCATTTGTAACATGTGTGATACAAGAATAAACCTTTGAGCTATAAAAGTTTTACAGTCTATTTACAGATTATCATCAACAACAGAACATTGTCTGGTTTAAGCAAGGTTTTAAAACATCAATTATGATTTACATTTTTTTTGACATGCCACAGTTATCTGACTGTGATGAAACATATGAATTTTAAAATAAAATCTAAAAACAAAATTTACTTTCTAAAAAAACACAGAATGGACCCACTAACTCAAAAACTAAACAAAATAGTTCTCCTGTGAAAATTCCCTGGACTAATTTTCTTTCATATGGCTTTATTTTACAAATGGAATGATTTGTATTTTAGTCCTTCTTAGGTTTGGCATTCCAGTAATATAAAATCTGAGCAAATATAAGGCCATTGAAGACTGTTGATACAATAAAGGTGACGATAATGAGCGTGTCCCCAGTCTCCTGGATGGACGTAAAGACTCGGGCCAGCGACCCCGCAAACAACAGGAAGACCGTCACCACAGACAGCTGACCCGTCCCGCCATTCCGGAAATTAGTCACAGCCTGCAGCATCTGTAAGGAGAATGTCATTAAATCAATACATAACACAACTGTTTGACTTAAGGATCACTGACCTGTTGATAAGGGAGATAACTCTATCTGGGATAAATGATTATTATTCCTTAAATGAAATTGTCCAGTTAAAATATCATATCTGTCAACATATTTGCAAAATACTTTTGTCAAAATTTCTTAATTACCAATTAGATTTCTCTTGAAATACCATAAGTATTGAAGGAAAATTATTTATGAGTGAACGGAGGGACAATTAATCCTAAACAAAGGTAATAAGAGATTACAGAGCTCACCTCAACGAATGTTGTCTTTAAGTAAGGCAAAGTCCCACACTAAACTAATAACCTTGGAGTGTGCATCCCTAGATGCAACACTTATGCAATTTTGGTCTGATAGGGCTTGCAGTTACTTGGGAATAGACTTATCTGAAAACTGAAAACTTAGAACTAGTCACTCATCCAGAAAATGTAAGTCAAATCCAGCATCCAAAGCAAGTTTGAGATTGTTCATCCCTTGATGCATCATCCTAGCAAGTCTGGTTCAGATAGGGCTTATAGTTACTTGGAAATGAGATCTACTCCAAAAACTTTAACCTGGTTACTCATCCAGAAAATGTAGGTCAGATCATCCAAAGCAAGTCCAGTAGTGTAAATCCTTAGATGTATCATCCATGCAAGTTTGGTCAATATAGGGTTTATACATACTTGGAAATGACATCTGCTCCAAAAACTTTAACCTGGTCACTCATCCGGAAAATGTAGGTCAGATCCAGGATCTGAAGCAAGTCCAGTAGTGTGCATCCCTAGATGTATCATCCATGCAAGTTTAGTCAATATAGGGCTTATAGTTACTTGGAAATGAGATCTGCTCCAAAAACTTTAACCTGGTCACTCATCCTGAAAATGTAGGTCAGATCCAGCATCCAAAGCAAGTCCAGTAGTGTGCATCCTTAGATGTATCATCCATGCAAGTTTGGTCAATATAGGGCTTATAGTTACTTGGAAATGAGATCTGCTCCAAAAACTTTAACCTGGTCACTCATCCGGAAAATTTAGGTCAGATCCAGGATCCGAAGCAAGTCCAATAGTGTGCATCCTTAGATGTACATGTATCATCCATGCAAGTTTGGTCAATATAGGGCTTATAGTTACTTGGAAATGAGATCTACTCCAAAAACTTTAACCTAGTCACTCATCCAGAAAATGTAGGTCATATCCAGCATCTGAAGCAAGTCCAGTAGTGTGAAACCTTAGATGTATCATCCATGCAAGTTTGTTCAATATAGGGTTTATACATACTTGGAAATGACATCTGCTCCAAAAACTTTAACCTGGTCACTCATCCAGAATATAAAGGTCAGATTCAGCATCCAAAGCAAGTTCAGTAGTGTGCATCCTTAGATGTATCATCCATGCAAGTTTGGTCAATATAGGGCTTATAGTTACTTGGAAATGAGACCTGCTCCAAAAACTTTAACCTGCTCCAAAAACATTAACCTGGTCATTCTTTAGCTGAAATTGCAGCATCTGAAACCTTGACTGGTACAATGAAGCACACTAGAAGCATCCTCCATGCATCTCTGACTAATATAGGCCATAGAAGTACTTGAAAAGAAAACTGCTCCAAAAACCTTAACCTGGGATGCCTAAGCTGACACCGACGCCAAGGGTATTACATAAGCTACCCCAACTTCGTTGAGGTGAGCTAAAAATGAAGATGTACCTCAGAAATCACTCTGTTACAAAAAAAGAAATGGTCAAATTACCAAAAAAAAAATGAAAAAAAAAAATTGATTTTATCTTTTTAGAGTCATTATAAAGCTAAAAGAAAGGGACTCTATTTTAATGTACTTACAAACTTTAAATGTACTTACAAACTTACCTTGCTTAGTATAACTATTGGTATATTTATACTCTGTAAAGCCCCTAATATTGGCAGTGGACACAGCCCTGACAGCAGATAAGCCATGATTCCTATATAGGAGGCTCCAAACAGGAAAGCCCCCGCAGCATTACTACCCAGGAAGAGGATCAGAAAGGCAATAGTACTGGTCTGTATTGTCAGGAACAGACCCTCACCATAAGCACTGAAAAATTGAGATAGAGACATTAACAAGCAAAGGCCTTTTCCATGCATAGGCCACGAAGCTAACCTCAGCTTTTTAACACAAATACAAAATTTTATATCAACAGCAGGCAGAGACAAAAAGAAGTTTCTTATTAATGTTACTTTAGATTTCTTATTTTATGCAAACACTTAATTTCTGGAATGGAACTTGTCAAATGGTGAGAACATTTTAATATGTGTTTATAAGTTATCTAAAAATAAAAGCCAATACTTTTCACAAAATGATGCAATAATAAATCATCCTGATAATTAGGAACTTACAGTAATGATTTTATGACATACGCACAGCCTACATTTCTCACCTAAACAAATGCTAAATTGAAAGCTCTTAAATAAATAATAATTGTTGAGCTTGAGACAGGCTCGTAATTCATTCACACATTAGCTTATATCAAATGTCTGGAGAGTTTGAGACAGACTCACAGTCTATTCACACTTAAATGAGAATCTTAAATAGCTAGAGTTTGAGACAGACTCAAAGTCTTTTCACACTTGAATGGGAAGCTTAAATGGAATAGCTAGCGAGTTTGAGACAGACTCACAGTCTTTTCACACCTGAATGGGAAGCTTAAATGGCTGGTGAGTTTAAGACAAACTCACAGTCTATTCACACCTAAATGAGAATCTTAAATGGCTAGTGAGTTTGAGAAGACTCACAGTCTATTCACACTTAAATAAGAATCTTTAATGGCTGGTTAGTTTGAGACAGACTCACAGTCTATTCACACCTGAATGGGAAGCTCATGGCAAATGCATATGTTGTTGTGGCTGATATGGCAAAGAGTTCACACAGGACTGCGGCCAGACTGATTCCCTCCCCGCTCCCCGCCTTCAGAATCTTCACAATCTGGGGAAGTTTCACTGAAAGTAATTAAGAAATATATTTAAAAACACTGCATACCAAGGACAAATTTTCAAAAACTTTGTAGACATAAAAATTTACGTATACCATTTTTTGTTTTTTTTTTAATTATAAAAAAAAATAATTTTGTTTATTATAATCATGCAGGTATGTTGAATACAAAAACAATTTAATACATTTGTAGATGTTCCCTGATATTCATGATAATTGCCCATTAACTGTTATAATAGCAAGGTGCAACATCCGGCCTATTGCTGGTAGGTAGACTAGCCTTAAACAATTTTTACAAAATGGTTCATGCATATCGCTCAGCATGTGGATATGATGCAATCAACTGTTTGGAGCTAAAAACAATACATACACCTCCTGAATTTTGCTGCGTCCATTGGGATGCACATTGATTGAAATTATGTGTCCCTAGACAAATTAGTATGTGATTTCCAAGGACACATAAAATTTATCTCTGGACTGGATGGTTATATACATACCCATAACAGCTCCTAAGATAATACTGTATCCCAAGGCTTATACATACCCATAACAGCTCCTAAGATAATACTGTATCCCAAGGCTTTGCTAAGTACTATGTTGAAACACTGAGCTGAAAAAAGAAAGAAAACTATTATTACATATTAAAATGCACTCTTATGCATAAACATGTGCTTTAAATATTGACAAGATATTCTTTTACATCATCCAATATTAGGAAAAAGTACATGTATCCTAAGTCCCATCTTTGAGATTCGATACCTTTGACCTAATTTTTGAAGCCTTTGACAGGTCCAGCACAATCTCTTGATTTAGCTATATAGCTTGAAAAAGCTTTGTAACTTTATTAAGCTATTCAAAATAGCTTGATAAAGCTATTTATGAGCAGTTTTTCAGAAAAATGTTTTTAAGAAATAGACAAAAAGTCACAAGTATTTGACTATTCATATACAGGAACCTCTCGATACCTCAAAGTCTGCGGGACCGAGGAAAAACTTCGAGAGATCAAGAGTTTGAGTTTTCAAGAGTACGGAATTTTCCGGGTTTGTTGACAGGTTTTAAAATTAGTCTTACCAGATGTAATGATTTTCATGCAGTGCTAACCTTTCACATGTGGTTTTTATAAAACAATGATATTTTTTCGTAATTTAGATGAATATTTCATTAAACTGAGTAAAGCAACAATGTATATTGTCATTTCATGTATATTTATTTAATCTTTATAATACGGACATCATACTACGCATTCATTACATGAAAATGATATTTTACAGCATTGTACATAGCATTGACTATTCCAAACATGACCATTGAATGCAGTTCTGCAAGTATTTGTCCAATAGCAGTCGTCATATTGACATTAAGGCTGTTTCTGCTTTTTTCATATTTTGTTTAACTTTGGTACCGACTCGAAATTAAAATTAAATTAGTGTTTCGTCTTTTAATCAATTACTACTTTTCACTGACACTGCGTCTCTAAATTATCGCAAGACAGTCGATGATAATTATTTTAATAGCATATAGGCAAAATATGATTAATTATAAATCAGTTATCACCTTGCAGCATGTGTCACCTGAATAAACATCCCGTTCCTCGACCTGCGTCTTCTGCCTGGGGCCATTTAAATGTCCTGGTAAAGGTGCTAATTATATAACCCTGTGTACAGTCACATAGCCGCTTCGAGGTATCGAGAGTAAATTCTAATAGAATATGCATAGCGGGACTGCATTTTGACTTCGAGGGATCAAGGGTTTCGAGAGATCAAGAGTTTGAGAAATCAAGAGTAAATTCGCTTAGTTATATAGGGGGAAAATTCGGGACTGGAGACTCACTTCAAGCGATCAAGAACTTCGAGAGATCGAAGTTCGAGCCATCAAGAGTTACCAGTATATACTATGGGCTATCAAAACAACAACCGAAATCAAAGATAGTTCTAACATTGCAGCATTTGAATACTTTTAAGCAAAAGATGAATTTCCATTGTTTGAGTGACTGTACACCACCTTGTGTGCGTTGAGGCGTGGATAAGTATGATTGCTTCTCATTGTACTGAATTATTATCAATCAATTATCTTGTTGACCATAATTGGCCTCTTTTATAATTTCAATGAAGAAGTAACTGTATCAATTGCTTTATATAGCCCCAAAAATTTTAGAACTATGAGTGCAAAGTCTCTTATTAATAAGGAGATGCAATTTATTAAGTAATTTTTACATGCAATATTTTCAGAAGAGTTCAAGGTTGAATATCATCACTGCACCAAGGTGCGACTTTTTGTGCATGCTGAGAAAATAACACATTTACGAGAAACGTGTGATAAAATAGCTAAATCAAGCTATTCTGAATAGCTTAATAAAGCTATATAGCAAAATCAATCTACATAGCTAAATCAAGCTATAAAGCTAAATCAAGAGATTGTGCCGGACCTGTTTGATCTCATTAACTGTTTGATCATGTACTAAAGGAAAGAGTACTTTTAAGAAACAAGTTAAGAGTTTTATCTTACAAAACGGCATTTTAGAACATGAAAGTGATATGTTTCAGCATTAACTTATAAAACATATTGTATTATTTTATTGATCCTATATGTTGTCATACTTAAATTAAATTTAACGTTTAAGCAATGCAGTGCTAAAATTATAGTGCCAAAAATTGTTATAGTGCTTTAATGATGAAACATTGTATTTTTATCTTATTTAGGGTAGGACCCCATTGGAAATAAGCTCTCCAGCTTTAATGGGTTATCCTGGTATCAACTAGTCACTATCTAAAATATGGTTTCCTGAATATCTTTTTATAAATCTATTTAAAATTTATGGATTCTCAAATATTGTCTTTCAAATGATTATGTATATTTATGTGTATTTGTTTTATGTATGATGACATATGATAACAAATAAATGATGATGATGATTAAGATCAGTTTAAAAAATCTATGCAATATATCTGGACTGAGGGATCTTTATTTAATATCACACAATTTTGAACTCTGACAGTGTTAATGTCCATCAGTCGATTGTTTGTATACTCATAAGAAATGGCTCGAGGAAATTCGAGTAAAGAGGACTTTGATCACAGTTGTTTTTTTTTTCTTTTGTGACTAAACCAAGAATAATTTCGTTTAAATCTGTTTAGAATAAAATAAAAGTCGTACCGTGAAAGAAATTAAATTTCACAAAATACTCATCATAGCATGGTTGTGGGAAAATGATGTGCAAATAGTTTTCCAAACCGGTGGTGGTGTTGTCACCCGCCATGTTTATTTCTGTGAACTGGTACTCAATGTTGACAAAAGGCCACCAGTTTAATGCGTTTGCTAATCCTTTCAGATTTGTTTCGTGATGTTGGATTTTCTTCTTTATAAAGGTGTTTACAGAGTGTTTCTTTTTTTTCTGGGAAAGAAAAGACAAATTCCAAGTAGATTTAACTCCTTTGTTTCATTCAAAATCATAGCGTGTGCATCTAGCAGAATATGAATATAGCTAGAGGATATTCAATGTTTTGTAGTTGGATATGGAATTTATTTCACGAGTGGAGTGGAACAGGATTTTTTTTTTATATATGAAAACTGTTGAGTTAAATTTTTCTTGTTTTTATTGGAATATTCTTTAAAAAGCTGTTGTCCATGACGTCAGTAAGTATCTTTGAGAAATGGTTTTATCAGGGACCTATATACTAATAGTATATAGGTCTCTGATGGTTTTATAAAGTGTAGAAAATTCTCATGTTTACTTAATTTCGATAAATAAGGACCAAAATCTATAAGTATTTTATTTAATATTCAACAAGTTCGGTAAAACAGGCCTAGGGATGAGGGAAAAAACTTTAAACAAGAATAGCTAGTATAATGTACAATACATCTTTTCAACTTTCATACGTTTTGATGTTGGTAACATTTTATAATTTCAATTTCCTGAATGTTATTTTGAGTTCACTTCTTGAATTATAACTCGTTGCCGCGAGGATCGAGTTCAGATAGAGGCTTAATTTGTAGTTCTACATTAATTGGAGTCTGCAGTGTATCTTTGTGGGGATTTCTTTGAAGTTTTTTTTTTTAATTTAGTATATATAGATTAGGATATACCGTAAATCAAATTCACTTCCATTGACTGGAATGTTAAAAGTATATAACTAAAAACTGATTTAAAAAAAATCATCATTAAAACACACCAATCAGAGGTGTCCCTTCCGTGCTTTCATCACAAAACAAACTCACAAAAGACTATACCAAATGTTTTTATATATTTATACGTTTTTCATACACAAGCAATACAAATAAAATGTATTTAAGTAATACATAACTGACAAGGGAGGTATTAATATTTGAGTGATTTTACCAAAGTGCAAAATGATTTTTCATCGGTGAACCCTAAGTACCATTCACTCTAGAATTACGGATACGCAGTCAGTATATTTTCATTTAATATCATTATATACACGGTCGTGTTTACTTAATATATCATTATCATGTTCAGATAATTTTGTTTTAGAGCAGAATAAAAATTCTGTCACAATTTCCCCCAAAATTTTAATAAATATTGCCCTTTAAAGAACCTCTTGATTCCCTAGAGGGGACTTAATCAATCAGTTTTTAGTGCAAAAGTTTCATTAAGTCCCAGAATGCCCTCCATAAACCCAAATCCCACACAGAATCAATAACGTTCTTCCGATATTACAGTATCTTCTCTCTCCTTGTAAGTTGGCGGGGGAGACATCGGGGGGACGGTCTCGTCGTATCCAGGTGGGGGGCATCCGTGTTGTTTGGGAAATGTTTCTGTGTCAATGTCACCATGACGAAAGTCTCCATGAAGGTGACTGGGAGAGACAGGAGAGTTGAACGGTTCACTTCCGGTTTGATATGGATGCATATCACCCATAACCTCTAATTCGTATCCAAACTCGTCTGTAAGAAAAAAAAAACAGATTTCCATCGTCAACTTTGTTTCCCTTATGTATGCAGTAGTGTTGCACTAGCTATTGCCTGCAAATGGTGCTTATGTCTCTTAACTAATTCGATAAAGAGCAATTTCTGAGTACAATCAATTTTCAAATCAATGAAGGATTGTGACCAAACAAGTTAATATTACAAAGATTTCAACAAACTCGTTTTAAAAAGCATATCACAATTTATGTGGTCTTTAAAATGACCTTGTTTGAAAATACAAACGTACAACACATCGATGGGTCGTATTTTAACAAATATTTTCCCATGGCACCAATTTTTTTTTTACACTAATTTGGCAACAGATTGCGAGTTGGAATCCCAAAGAGGGATACGGAAACTGGTCCTTCGAATGAGAGTGTTTAAAAAAACTCATTGCTCACTGACCATAATTGCCATGCAAGTACGGAAGTTGATGACGTCCCAACAAGAAAATATTTCATATAAAAGATATATAAAATAATGTAAAGTTTAGCTCAAGTTTTACTCAAAATCAAGCATTCCAATCAGTTAAGTTAAAAAAAGACTAAAAATTAACTGAAAGTTGACTGAATTGCAGAGCTCTACCATTCAGTCAACTTTCCAAACCTTTCATTAAATATACATTGGACTGGATGGCGTGGTTTAGTTTCATCCTATGTTAGGATATGCATGCACTGACATGTGTCAAGTTCAATTCATGTATTTATTACAGCTTATTATATATTTAGACTCGCGTCTTAGCTTTCGCGCATATTTGATAATGTACCGTAAATCACTTTTTATTCGCGAGAACTTTATTTTCGCGTAATTACGCGAGACAGTGTGCTCGCGAAAATATCATTCTCGCGTATATTAGTATTCCTTAAGATTATATACAGTAGTAACCACAATTCGTGAAAATTTTGTCTCGCCAATAAAAAGTACATGTCTACCTCGCGAAAAAAAAGGTGTTGCAAAAATTTAGTGATCTACAGTGAATTAACATCTCTTCTATGTACATGTACTTATATTTCAGTTCCGGAGATACAGTTTCAAAAGCACAATAGATGTATATTTACACTTATGTCAGATTTTAGAAGCAATACAAATATTTTCAGTTTTCCTGCAAGCATCTTCATTATTTCAAGGCTTTGTCGGATAATCACTAATCCTTGGCATTCTGGAGCTAGTTTCCAAACACAATAGTACAATTTCGCCACATAATCACGAGCATATATCTTTTTCTTCCTTCTTCGGCATAAAACGCACATTAAATATATTTCTGCAAACATATACCTATTTCGGGTTCTACATCGACAAGCTGTTTTGATTTCTTGTTGCTTTGCCAACATATGAACATCACCACGGATACAATGAGAAAGAAGACCAGAGCCCCCACCACACCGCCTACGATGGCGCCCGTGCTGTCAAAGAGAAGCAATACAAGGTCATACACAAGTCTGTACTTTTTACTTTGAGATATAAATCAAGTTTATATTGTAAAACACAGAGTAAAACAGAAAAGCTTAAGGGCGTTAAAGCCAGATTGATTTCAATTATTACACAGGCTTACTTATCCGCGGAGCAGCACTTCCGACTTCGTTCAGATCCACAACAACCGACAGAGCAATACTCGTAGTAAAACAGGGAGCTGTTGGAGGAATAGAAAGTCTTACAAGTGATTGTCAGGGCCCCTGTAATAGGAGAAAATAAAAAGAATTATAAGAAAAGGAACAGTGATAATGCCAAAAAGATATTCCGATATATATATATATATATATATATATATATATATATATATATATATATATATATATATATATATATATATATATATATATATATATATATATATATATATATATATACCTCGCTCCAGGGAAAGCACTGCATGAGCGCAGAGGCCTATTCCTAACTCTTAAAGATCACACATAACACAAACAAAATTTTGATGCACGAATTGATAAATATTTTTTGACTGATTTTGAATAGAAATGACATAAATAACAAATCCCTAAAATATAAAGAAATCGGAAGTTTTCTTTGGTGCTTAGATATATGCTACTTTGTGTTGTTTTCTGTGTAATTCTATATATACTAAATTTTGCACATAATTAATTTAAACATTATGACAAAATCTCAGACTTTACCCGGCAATTATTATTCAGGTAACCTATTTCAATATAAATCTATGAGCAATATCACTGATTTCTGAAACAAAAGTTTGTGTTATTTATCCTTAAGAACAAATATCAGAGATTATTCAGAGAATGCCAATGATCATGGCACTTTGAGTTACATGTAGTGGTGTACATGTAATGGTGGATTGATCCTGGGGACAATCAGAGTTTTGTCCCCTTCGCTAGTACATGTATAATAGAAGAGTATTACGACTTTAGTGAATGTGGGAATTAACAGATTTTATCAATGTTTATTCAACGTACACTGAATACATATATATCTGTCGGAGGAGACTTTTCTTATTTTCCAAACTTTTTTATTCCGTCACATTGTGATGTCATAGGTACAAATACAGTTGGGATCAAACTATATTTAAGTTTTTAAAAAAAATGTGATAAAAAGAATTTCCTAAGTTTGTAATTGTATCCTAAAAGACTTGGGGAGAGAAAACACAAAACTAGTTGTATACATGTGTATGAAATGTTAAAATAACGGAGAGTAATCATGCACAAAGTCCACTGGTACAATACATACTAGGCGCAGAGCAAACATGGACCTCTAAAATATAAAATTCATTTGATGATTCTATACATATTGAATCACTGAAGATTTAAAATCAGTTAGAGGATTTATTCAAAATGATATAAAATGTTAATCCTAAATGTAAGAGTATATAGTGAATTATGAAACCATATGAAGAGAATTATAAAGCAGAAATACCTCTGGGCTTTGATGTTGTTCTAAAAAGGCATATACATGTACCGCAACTTTAGACAGACATATATGTGTGCAAAGTGCTTACCTTCAAAGTAAGCCAGTAGAAAAATCAGTTGTACCAGACAGAATCTACATGGCCACAGCCCCATTATCGGTGTATAAGCCTTGCGTCCCTATAAATTAGTGTTCCTACTTGTAATATGCTTTAGAGGGGTAAAAATATTCGGCTGGCAATTTTATTATTTTCATTTAAGTTACGAATTTTCTGTTTTCTTTTTGGATTTATTTAAATGTCAGAGTTTTCGTGTGTTCAACTTTTTAAGTCTCTGGTCACACTGGATAGTAGGTACATTTAACAACAAACTGTGGGATAAGAACACCCTTCTTATTAATATAAAGAGAAAAACGACTGTAATATATCAGTAGCATCAAGCTCCAACAAGAAACGACTGCATTATGTCCAAGGGCTCCTAAAGAGTAGGCAATTTTGCTTAAAAGGACTGAGTATCATATTTTGGTGAATTACTTGAAAAGTCGAATTTCTCTTTTTAACAATGATGTATCGCATTGTGTTTAGGACCGGTGATTATTAAAAAAAATCCTGATAAAGTTAAATAACTTTTTAGTTTTAGTTTAATTCTGTATGTGCTGGTTTCAATCCAAGGCCTAATATCCTACATCTACATCTCTTGATCTTTAGAGATCCTGGCTAGCAGTTGGTCTTTGTTGCCGATGATGATTAATTCGGACCAATTTTAGCTGTAATTATATTTTAGCGCCATTCGTGCTGCTTCTTGTTCACTAATTTATGTGATTTATAACCAATACAACTCGTTATTTAAAAGACTATAATGCGCTAATTTATGATTGCGCTGCTCAGTGGAAGATGACGATTGTGCTAAAATTTGAGTGCACGTGCACTAGTTAATTAGTTGTTTAATTTATCATTTGTTACAACTTTTTTGTCTTTCAAATAGATTTTTTTTTACATTCTTGAATCCGCCGGTCCTTTTTATCCCAAATCAATTTCTGAGTTTTCTTTTCCCTTATTTTCTTTTGATAAGAATGTTATACAGTTGAAAATAATAATAAATACAAAGACATGTCATTACTTATAACTTTATTATATTATAAAGGGCACTAAAATAAATGATACGTGTACGAAGGACATGTGGGCGGAGCTCGGTACATGTATGGGTACTGTATGGGCATATAATATATACATATGCATGTATTCGTGATTAAAACATAGTCTAAATAAATTCATTTTATTAGTTTTTAAATTTCTTCTGTTAAGAAGAATTCAGGAAAACATATAACAAGCAATAAGAAAGGTTAAAAAGATTTTAAAAATATGTACGTATGCTATCTAATTTGTCGAATTACAAAGGTGTTTTCTGTCGGGTTGCCGTGTATCAGAGATTTCGTGGACTTTGGTGCCAGAGTCACGCCGATTCTCTCCCCTTTCTCTAACCACCTGGAGAGCACTAAGATTTCGCTATGTCCTGCCCATCCCTTCTTCTGCCTCATTCGGTTACAGCCTAAGGTAATTCCTGATGACGTCACAATGCAGCTGTAAATCATGACATCGCCCATGCCTGCCTTAAGATGCGTCTCAATGCTCAGTGTCGAGTGAAGGTCGTAAAAACCACTTTTGGGGATTATAAAGAATCCACTGGAGTACGTTAGTCCTCCCTTGGTGTATGTCTGGTTTTTGTAATTTTTCCATCTTAGAAACTCGTGTCCATCTACGGTGATATGAAAAGTATATGTCCATTGATTTAATTATTTCCAATAAAAAAAAAATACCCAATGCTTTTAAATACCTAATTTAATAAAAATTTAATAGCTATAATAAAACTCTTCGAAGTGAAGTACAAATGAATTGCCATTTAAATCATAAACCGATTAATTCAAATACCCCATAAAGATTTTTAAAAAAATTAATATCAGTGTCTTTTAATATCTAAGCTGTTTAAAAACGTATCGAGGAAATCCCCCGCTAACACCCAAATATCACTACGTGTATATTTTTAGAAACTTCTTATACAACTAAGATATACTAAGTAAGTATTACACAGGTTAACTATTGTAACATATAAAACTCATACATGCATCTCAGAAAAATCATCAACAAATACGTAACTCACTTATCTCAGAAAAAAATAGCTAACTTCAGCCGTGCGTAACTCATATATCTCAGAAAAAATGCTAACAAGTAGAGGCCTACGTGACTTACAATGAAACTGTGTTCTTCGCATGACTGCATGGCATGCATTTTTTACTCTTTTACGGGATAGGGTCACATTTTTTTTTAAAGGTCTACTACATTGTACGAATAATCTATTTTTCAAACCGCAAAATCAATCGATGTATGCATATATATTTAATTAATAGATAAAATAATTTATTTTTTAATCATAATAAGAAAGATTGATCTTAATTCCTATAGCCTACTGACCTGATAACGAAGTCGTGTCTAGAACCATGTACGCCACAGGAAAATTCCCGTGAAACGATTCGTTCCGAGAATATGCTGGAGTGTTGTGTGGCTATGAAAAGATATAAACATGATAAATATAGTTACAATATCACGTTTATAAACTATCCCTTTCCGTAATCTGTATAAACAATGAATTCTTAATCTGCAAAAACTTCAATTCTCAGTTCTTAGATTAGGAGAAAATTGCGGAAGGGTCTCCGTCTATAACGAAATGGAAGATATTTATGGAATTGAACTAGTGTTTAAAAATTGATAACTTTAATTAAGTCATTATTTTTTCCATTCAAATTAATATATACATTATTTATAGAAAACTCACCAATTTCCAGTGATCTTCCAGAGATGTCTTAAAAACATTTCGGACATAGACGAGAACTCCCACAAAAGCAAGAAACGTCACCATGGATACTGCTGCTGACATAATAGACACAATGATGGACTTTCGGCATCTTCTTCGTTTTGTTTTTAATTGTTCTGGAACTGTTTCCTTTGATATTTCGTCTGTTGATAATGCTAATTCCTCGTCAACTAAGAGGGTCATGTTTGGTTGTACTGTAGCTAGAGTCTCAGCACAATTGTTTACAACATGCAGTAGTTATAACCAAATATTGTTCTATTTTTAAATTTAAAAAAAATTCAGTAGCGGTAAGAGCCAATCATTTTCAAAACTTATTTTTGGTTTGCTGAAATTCCCAAACAATTCCATATCTATAAATAAGCACACATACTTGGGGTCTCTCAAAGTTTCGTGTATATATGAATTCGCATCAATTGTTGTCTTTTCAACGAATTTTATTTAAAAGTTTGTTTTGTTGCAAAGGTTATCAATGACAACAAAATTTATTTTTGAATAAAATTTGTGGAAAGAATTTTTTTTCTGCGAAAGTTTTTCTTAATTTCAAACATCTTAAATTGTAATATTTGCCATATTGAAAAAGACAAAGGATCAAACAGTTTGCATTATGCGCATGCATTGTAGTCGCGCTCAGCATGTTGGTAATTCAGTTTTAAAAATGTTACGAATTAGTTAATATTCATTATCATTAGACTTCAAAACATAATTATATATAACAATTGTTGCTTTATTTCCGTTTTTCTGGTGAGATTTAATGTACTAAATTTAGCACTGAATTTTCAGATCTAGAATTACTTTTTGCTTTGGTTTCACTGAGAGTATTATCATGCTAAATTTCAAGTATTTTCTCTTTCGAAATGTTCGGAAAGTTACAGAGCAAAAACTTTAATGAATATTATTTATGAACCTCCACATATTTATAAGCACTTTTTTCTATAGCCTACTAAGAAATTATCCTGTGGGGTATATTTTTATTACAGAGACATGCAGGGAGTAGGGGGGGGGGGGAGGCTGCCACTTCACTTTTTCTCGATATAGTCTTTTACTGCGTTTTCAATCTGAAAATGTACATTGAAAGGCCGGTTGCCTTCACTCTCACCCACCCAACCCCATCCCCGTTTTTTTTTTTTTTTTTTTTTTTTTTTTGCCGTAAAGCAAAAATCTCTCAAATTGTTTTTGTCGGAAAAGTTGTAGCCTAGCTGCCCCCACCCCATCTCCACCCTACCCCACCCCCTCGGATTTTTCTAGTTTGGATTTTTATTTTTTTTTTAAATATATTTTTAGCATTACTTTTATTTTTGCTTGGAAAGGATTTTTCATAAAAGTACCCCCCCCCCCTCCCTTTCAAAAACTCTGCAACCCTTTGCCTGGTCAACATATAGATTAAAAATTATATTCTACTGAACTATAGATGTCTACATACATAAATTCTGTAATTGAAATACTTTGACGTCTAAGCAGTTTAATTTCTGGCTTCTTTCGGTCGTGTTTCTCTCTCTCTCTTCTTTAAAAGAGAAACAAGAAACGTACGAGTTATCATAAATTAATGACATTTGGTCACATGACACATGTTCTCAGTCAAAATGGCGGACAGGGAAAAAGGACTATTAGTGTTCCAATTTTACATATTGATTTTTATAGGTAAAATTTCGTGTTTTACGATAATTATTTAATGATGCTGTTAAGAACTATTCTTGGTATGTTATGAAGAAAAATGTTGTCGATAGAATACTTTCTCGGACGAAAATTTTTAGATGAAGATCGCATTCTTTGGTTGTCACGATCGCATCACCTGACCCAGTCCTTATTAAGTGTATCAGCATTGCTAGGTTGTAAAGACCTATGACTATGGTTAAGTTTAAAATAAATTCCTGATGTTGTATTGCTGTTTTCCTGAATGTTGCGCTGTGTGAATAATGTGTAGATTTAGATTTGTTTTACCATGTGTACTTGTTTACAATAACAGATTACTGTATAGGGGGAAAATAACTCGCGGTGTTAATATTCGCTATATTCACGGTGTTAATAAATCCGTGAATTCAAGAAACGGTGAATAAGTTTTAAATATTTAAACCTTAATGTTTTATTTGGAAATTTGAGAATAGACTATGATAGTTATATAAACATGTACGTTCAATACATGGTCATTCAGTAATTACGAGTAGTACTTGTTATCCAATTATCTTAATTATCACGCTATACTTTAATTCAAATAAGCAGCTTATAACCTGTATTTATCGTTAAAAAGCTGTTTTGATAGATACGTTTCATCAGTCAAAACACATGGGTCATGGGTTTTGATTATTCGTGGATAACGTTACCACTTGTAATTGTTACCTGCATTAGCATTATGCGTATTAGTTTTTATGGAAATTTTGGTTAAAAGAATATCATTCGAATAACTTTCGAACTTGCTGGAAGGATATTATTATGTCCACCTACATTAAAACATTTATTAGCGTCCAGTGTTTTTTTTTTCTCTCGATGCGATGTGTATACCTTCGGAAAGATGTGTACACATGCACTCACCGTAAAAGCAAATAGGAAAGTCATTTGACGTTTATAGTCAAAAAATTTTAATAATGGCACTTGTTTTTATTAATAATCAATTAACTACTAAATCTAATAATTCTATATAAACCTACCCTGTTCGTGAAGTGAATACATAACGCCGATAAATTTCGTTCTTGCTATACTAGCTATGGATTACACGGATAAAGACAAGGGAGTGAACTTTTGTTATACACTGATTCCGCGAATTCAACAAACCGCGATCGTGTCCGAGGAGAGAAAAACGTGAAAATTACAACCCGTGAAATTAATCCCCTATACAGTATTTTTTTTCCTGGTTTATTTTAGGAGTGTGCTGTGGACAGGAGTTAGTGGTCACACATGCCCCGAGTTATGTTACATTCCAGGAACAGAAGGAACCGCTATCAACCAGCAATGTTCCTAATGTCATCACACATACACTTGGTGTTCAAACAGATGGGGTATTGAAGAAAATGTCACATAATTAATGCCATCAGTGCTTTTCACCCTTATTTCAAAAGCAATCTTTTTCATCCACTGCGGGAAGAATTTTACATGATATTTCAAAATCAGTTTGAAAATATGTTTTCTGGGTAAATTAAGAACACATTTCTCAGGGGAAACTGCTTCTACTTGGCTGTAAATATGGGTCATAAAAAGCTTGAATATAGTCAATTCAAACAGAAATGGGATATATACAAGAACGAAATATGAAAATTCCTGAAGTGCAAGATACATATGAAAAATTATGAAAAATTACATTATTCATATCTTTTGATTTTTTTATTTTTATTTTAATTCAGCACAATCCATGCCTTCTAATTAGTGAAGTTAAAATGCTATTTTCTGACAGCCTGCAGATGGCTTGTGTACACTTTATCATTCTTGACTATTTATATTCTTTAAATTAGGATGTCAACTGGAATGGGCTTGCACAGAATTCCTTCTTCAAAAGACCTAAGGCTAATGTACTAGTTTCAATTCTTGGACACAATGACTTAAAGAATAAGCCACTAACTGTCAAAAACATGGCCCGCTTTCCTGTAAAAACAGTAAGTATTTGGTGAAAAATGAAGTTAACTTACACAGTCATCTGATGTTAATTCTTATGTAATGCTTTGGTTGTACCTTGCTACATGAAAGCCTTTCCTTTACTAAGATATACGATACAATGATGTCTTGACCGTCACCAATAAAAGTTCTTCCTTTAATTGTAGGATATTCCTATGGTGGACATTGCCTCTCTGATGAACACACTTCAGGGTGTTTTCTTTGATCAGAGCCCATTGTTACTTGATGCAGGCATGGATAACAATGTAAATATTTAAAGCTGTTTACTCTGCGTTTATGATAATGTGGTAATTTTGAGTATGGTGTATCATTCAAGTACATACTCCTAGAAGAGCATACAGTCTTAATGAATTTAGATTCCATTGAAATATGGTAATTTTATTTGTTATAATTTGTAGCTGTATTCAAATACATACCTCTAGAATACAATAGTACATAGACATAACAGATTTCAGAATCCATTAAAATTACGTGGAAATTTTACAGTGGATTCATATATTTATTGAATATAAATTAAATATAATTCATCCGCAGTTTCACCTTTCATTGTCTATTATAAAACATACATGTGCATGCAAACTTCAAGAATTTTCTGTACATATTTCTTTTGAAGTTTATGGTTCAATAATTGATTCAGAAGTACATGTTTCTTGTAGTTTTTTGATGTCCACTCTGACTTTGATGTTTTCCGTAAACTTCCTGATACATTGAGGAAGATGTCTGACCGGCTGTTGGACTCGGACTCCGTGCTACAGAGACATTCCGTGGGGTCCCTGAACTCCAGTAAACCTAGTGACCTCAAACTGATGGGGGAATTACAGCTGATACAGGATGTAATTAACACGGTAAAGGAATAAATGTATTATAATAAAACTTATTTAATCAATTTAATTAATGCAGAAATAAAAATAAAAATTACATCCCATATACTGTAGTCTGGCAATTAATCACAATGGTTTTCATTTCACTATGTTCGCGATTCATCATTTTCCACGAAATGAAAGCCATCGTGAATGCTATCATTAGTTTTTTTAAAACATTTAAATGCCTATACAAAATTTAAATTTAAATTAATTTCTTGCAGCGTGAAATTAAAACCATCGCGATTGGTACTCTTTGAGAAATTGTGAAATTTTAACACTGTGGAATTAAAAGGACTTACAGTACTTGACAGTTGACTAGCCTTTACTAGGCTAAATTCTGTTTGATAAGTAATTTGTAACATTAATTTATGCTAGTTTGCTTTTTATCTTTAAGGAATTGGAGAAATGCTTAAATTGTAGTAGTTCAAATAACAATTTTTATTAAATTTGTGGGTTTTTCCCACAGTAATGTTAAATATGAAAGGCAAATAAGTAAGATGGCTAACAATTAGAATAAATGTAAGTATTTATTGTTAAAGGTGCTTGGACACAGATTTGAAGTTAATATTTTCTCAAATTTTCTGTACGATTTTCTGACTTATTAGGTCACCTGAGTTTACTCAGGTGACCTATTGCTATCTGTTTTCGTCCGTCGGCGTGCGTCGTGCGTCGTCCGTCGTGTGTTAACATTTGAACATTTTCAGCTTCTTCTCTGGAACC